CCGATCGAGTGTCGAGGGGGGAGGGGGGGGGGGGGGGGGGGCCCCCGTCGGGGGGGCGCNTGGGGAACACTGAATCACGCTTTTTGGATATGTCATTTTCATTGTAGTATTTTTTTTTCGCCCCCCCCCCCCCCCCCCCCCCCCAGTATGCACAATGAGTATTTTCTGGGCCTTGACAAAAGTTAGATCCTCCCCGAAATTTGTTTCTTAGAAGTTGATTTTGAAACAACTTCGGCACAGAAGATGAACTAGGGATTGGACGAGCTCTACAAGATCGAAAGTTATACTTGTATTCAAAATAAATTCGGTGATTTCCATTAACCAATTTTGCAATTAAAATACAAAATAATTACTATTTCAGGTACTTAGACAGTCCAAGTACCTGAAGCATCGACGCAAAACCGGATGCGGAGAAGTCGCTCTCGGAATGTCATAAAATCTCGTTGAAAGGGAGGAGGAAATAGATGTGGCCTTCGGTTGGACTCTTGGTCCTTTGGTCCTTTGGTCCTTAATTGAGTTGAGTGGACTGAAGCAATGCTGGTCGACTAACTTTTCCACGTTTTCTGAGGCGTTTCCTCCAAAAAAAAAAAAGTAGAAAATGAAAAAAAAATTCCAGCACGAAAAGATCCTCTGCCTTGAACGAAAGCCGAAGGTCGACCCGAGGTTGCGAAACGACGAAGAGACGACACGGAACGAGACCGTAAAGGTTTCTCTGCGATTCTATGGAAAAATGATGCAGCGTTCTTCGTAGAATTTTCAGGGCGGGGAAACTGGACAAAGCCGAGTCCACGCAGTTGAAACCATCCCGGATTCGCAACCGAGCGTTTTCTACGAACTCTGATGAAATTAAATGGTTTTCCTCTTCGCGAACTGAACGTAGTGGAGCTTAAATTAATTTTCACAGTTCGATAAAAACGTTTTTTATGGCAATTAGACATATTAAAAAATAAGTACGGAGCCATACTCACCACGTCCTCCGATGATGCTCACCGACGGACACGGAACAGACGGCAGACAGACAGCAGACAGACCCCACAGAACCGCCGCACCCCTCAGTTTTCACGCCGGAATCACCGCACTTCCTCGCCTCAGAGTGACTCTGACGTTGCTCGCACGGACTCGAGGGAGAACGGAGGTTCACTCGAGGCAGAACGGAGGTTCACTCGCTCCCGAAGGACGAGGGGAGAAGCCATTCAATCGGACGTGATCTCCATTGTCTCGGCGAATGATTTCTTCTCTCCCTTTTTCGCTGGGTTTCGTCGAAGACGTCCAAATGCGTCTTCGATTTCGGTCGGTCGAAGATGCCCTCTGGCGGTTTCTTCTGCGCATGCAGCGTCGAGTATTCCGTTGCTATTTGGGAGATTGCAAGCGACGGGGAGAGCGACATCGTCATCGTGAGTAAAATTGTTTTTGCTGCCCGAATTTTTCGTTTCCAGGTTTCTTTCTCGATTTGCATTTTTCTTTCTTCCCTGTCCTTTCCCCGCGAACATCCGATGATATTCACGGCGGAGGAACAGCAGAAATTAAAGGGCGACTTAACGAATGCGACCGGAAGTGACGCCTCCCGCGGGCATTCCGCTAACTAACGAGACGAAACAAAGATGCAATTATAATTTACGTTCGCCCAAGCCCGTGAGCTAAAGGCACAACACGTCCCCAATCCCCAGTACTTAAAAGATACCCGACACAGACAGGACGAAGAATGCAAGGTCGGTCCGAACTGGACCGGTTTTGCTTCGCCGCGAGCTAGAAGGCCGGGATTTTTGCTTCCGTCGGACACAAAAATCCCGGCCCGACCCGTCTCTAACAGGGAATCTTTTGTTTTCATTTATGGCAGCATGATGTAGGAATCCTCCCCCCCCATCCCATTTCGGGAGAATCGGCACTTTCCCGCAGCGATACATTCTTTCACGTTCGTTATGGCAAGCAAATGTTAATAGGGGCACTTTCAGACGTTACTTTAGTTTCCCCCTTACACAAAACGTTTTGATAGATATCTCAGATAGAGGCCAGTCCAGATCATTCTCAATTCCTGGTAATATGGAGGCAACTCATAGCAGTGGCGTTACGAGGGGGAGACGGGGGGGGGGGGGGGAAGGCTTCAGCAATCCTAAGTCTGGTTCAGGCACCCCCCAACTCCAGACTAAATGCATCCGTTACTTCCCCTCCCCCCATTGGCGAAACCCTGGCTACGCCACTGGCTCATAGGCACAAAAGGGAAAGAATGATGTGGAGTAAAAGAAATAAAAAGGGGGGGGGGGGGGGGGGGATTCCTTACTGGTACTCCGTCTTGTCGATCACCATCCACTTCACTCCGTCCTCGGAGCTGAGGTACGCGCGTTGGTACTTGTCGTGGGCGAGGATGTACATGTGGGTCCTGTCGAATCCGGCGATCTGGGAGATGCAAGGCGACAGAACTGGAATGCCAACGATGCGAATCGTGCAAATGGCGGTATCTAGAATTACCTAGTACTAGTACTCAGCACTAAATCAGAGTATAAAAAACAATAGATTCGTTAGGAATTTTCTACACAGAAACGTACAAGGTACAAATGTGAGACGAACATATTTGTGTCCTTCGGGTCCGCACGCGTACCTCCGCACCTGCCTTTGTGCGGATGTTGTCCATGAATACGTTGCAAACGCAGATATCCGGGTTCCCCATACTCAAAATAGGCATAAGGTGGCGTTTATGTTCCCCCGAACATTCCAACTCGAGTCAGGAAGCACCGGACCTTAGAAGAGTTTTCTTCTTTCCCCTGTTTTCATCTCATCATGATACTTGTAAAGTAGTATTTGGAAAAAATATAATTATCATGATTCAATGTCAATTAATGATTCTGTAAATTTTTACATGCCGGGGGTTTTGCCCGAGGACGGCGAAAGGTAAACCGTCAGGTTAGGAGTTTTAAAAATAACCTTAAACGGCTGTCCTAAAAAAGAATGTGAGTTAGCTATCTACAGTAGTTTATTTGCTGTACAGAAAAGGATCGTATTCGCACCAGACGGCCAGTTAAAATACTTCATGACTCTTTGATTTTTTTGTAAATTTTTAATACGGAATTCAGCAATGGTAAAGGAAAGGTGTTTGTACTTTCGCCCCTTGTAATGAACAAGAGACGTGGTTCGCATTTCTGAGTTCATTGTGGTCGGCCACGTCGTTCGACAGGACACAGCCGCGGAATTCCGCCCTGAGAGGGAAATTTCAACTGATTTTTTTCTCAAGTTTGTGCTGACGAATAAAATGCTTAATCGACGCCTTTGTGCTTGGTCGCGTTCTCGGCCAGTTCGAGGCGTCGAGAGAGACGATCGTCATGTCGAATGGCCTTGCCAGAGCCTCTGGCAAGGAATTCTTTCATAGGAAGCGGATGGTGACCGATTTGGCAGTTTCCCAATGCGCTTGCGGAAGAAGATTCAGTCACAGGAAAAGTCAAATTTCAGGTAGGCTGATGCTACGTCAAAATGCACAACACAAGCACTTCACAGGCTTTAATGCTCGATGTCGTAAGGACAAATAAACGGAACGAGAATTTTATTCAACGGAAATAGAACGCGGGAAAAGACATTCGGAAGATGAGAACAATAATTTGTCAGTAATTTGGAAGCAGCTTCCCCACTCCCTATCGTTCCCAGCACCGAGCAAAGAAATGCACGGAGTCAGAACGCGAATGAGATTCGTGGAAAGCATGCTGATGAGCAAGAATGCGATGGGAGAACATGCTGATAGGGATCCTCTTCCCATAGAAATCCCGTCGAGCGTGTCGTCCTTGGCGCTTGATAGGCAAAAACTAGTGGACACGAGAGACATCTATCGGCTTGTCTGGTCGATAGAGCTAGGGAGAAAGCCAAAGTCAGGATGGAAAATGAGGTCATGGTTCAAGATTTGAACGCGGAGAGTCGGCATGTCCAGACTGACACTTCCAGCTCGTTCAACATGGTGCCGAATATGTTTTCGGTGGAGCGTGTTCATCGAGTGCTTGGTCAGTTCAGCTGAATCGCTTCAACTTCGTTTTGATAAGGAAGACATGGAATTTCTTAAAGACATTATTTTCACGGAAAGGAAAAGGACTGTATCTAACGGGTTTCGCTAATTCCCACACGTAAAAAGTGATTTTCGCGACTCGAGTCGAGACTCAAGCAACTTGGATCCCTCCTTCGGTTTTTGCATTCGACTCGGCGTAACCCAAAACCCTTTGCGTTTTGACGCCTTTAATGATGTTTAGGGTGAAGATGAGATTCTCAAGCTTTGAACGCTCGGATTCGAGTTCATGCTTCCTTCCTCATTATTTAGTCCGACTTTTAACCACGTGCCGCTTAAAACCTATCATTTGCTTGTCTCCGAAATCGAACACGGGGAATAATTCGAATGCAACTCTCGCTGGCTATCGAATGAAGCAACATGCCAAAAATCCTTTCATAGCGATGCTTCGATTTGCATTTACTCTGTGAATCGCTTTTGTTGGTCTGCTGGTTCGAAAGCTCTGAACACTACTCTGCTCTCGTTCCCCCTCTCCCCCTCTTGATGGAAAGCTTGCTTTCAAGTCGACATTTGCTTGCCATGATGAACGTGAAAGGATTTTTCCCGGTGCAACCGGTGCAAAAGTGCAGACTTTCCCGATATGAGATGGGGCACTGCATCATTCAAGGCACAAGATGGCAAAAAGGCAAATAAAATACAAAATACTGTACTTTCTGGCACTCGTTTCGACCGACTTTACAATTACATTCGTCTAAATGATGCACAGAGTCTATCTGCTTGGTTTTGATGATGTTTCATCGGACTAAAGACTATCGTGAAGTAGGTTTGAAATCGGATTGGATGTTACATGTCAGACTCCCAGAAGAGTCGTTTCTCAAGTGAGGAATCTCGAAGTTTTCTTACGAATTTAAAGTGCTTTTATGGCTTCCCTTACGACTTGTCCATGTGTTTCAACGGTACGTAATCGTTTCACCCTCCTCGGATCTTTTCTGATCGAACGTGGAAATAATGAAAGCCATCGGAATGCGACACCCGTGTATTTTATGCTGAAGAAGAAGGAATGGTCATGGAAAAAGAAGAGATCCCCGAACGAAAATAAAAAACCTACGACGAACTAAAGTCCCCAAACGAAGCGAAACCGGTTGAAAAGGAAAGAATTGAGGGATCCCCCAAAGAAAGAACCGAGATCGAGCAATAGCTCCAAAGTCATCGGGTGTTGCCGGATCTTTTTGATCCGGCAACACCCGATGACATCCGGCGACATCCAGTGAGAGACAGACGAAGCCCCTCGACCTCCTCCCCGGCGTCTAGCGGCAGCAGTTGGACCAATCCACCACTCGGACGTTGAGGCGCATCAAGCCGCTGAAGTCCGCTGCAATGCAAGGAGAGAGACGAATGAGGAAAAGTGGCTCGGGAACCAGAAAACGGCCTCCAGGGTGCTAACGTATCGATTCGTGTGGATTTCTTCTTCGAAGCGAACGAGCACGAAGAATAGGGGAAAGTTTCCGTTAAAAAAAAAGCTAATTCTTTAGCAGAAATGGTTAGACTTGAGAAATTGCAACCGTTAAGGCCACTCGTTAAGAGAGGAAAGTAATGAAATACGGTAACTCATGAACGATACGATGGAAATAAGTTCTCCCCTTCCTTCGACGTAAATACGAAACGAATCCATCTGTAAGTTTGCATACCCGTCCAGGCTGAGTTGGGGAAAGCGACGCTGGTGGCCCCGGACGGATTCCCCGGCACGGCCACGGACTGTTGGAACGTGGCGGACGCGATGGCCGTCTGGTACTCCGTCTTGTCGATCACCATCCACTTCACTCCGTCCTCGGAGCTGAGGTACGCGCGTTGGTACTTGTCGTGGGCGAGGATGTACATGTGGGTCCTGTCGAATCCGGCGATCTGGGAGATGTACGGCGGCAAAGCTAGAAAGTCAACGACGCGAATTGTGTATACGGCGGCAACTAGAAATACCGAGTAGTAGCACTCTTACACTAAGTCAGACGTTGTTTAAATAAAAATAACCTAGAAAATGCATCGAATCGGCATCAGAGGGATGGTGTATTTGCTGACTGATTTTCTGTCACGGGAAATTCAGCACTGGTAAAGAAAATCTAATACTTTAATTGAAAAAGACCGAAAGTTATGGTGGCTGTCACACCTAACGCCGGAGGCCTACGATGCTATGCCATTCTAGGCCATAGTCCAGGCCATTCACGGTCTAAACCGCCAGACCTAGAAGACTCTACCATCCTGGACCATAGGCTGGGCCATAAAAATTGAAAGAGGCCGAAAGCTGTCGCGACTGGTTGTCATTCATCTGCGACCTAACACGCACGGCCTACAAGGCTATGCCATTCTAGGCCATAGGCTAGACCATGAAAACCTAATGGTTTGATTAAACTGAACTGCTTCATATCTTTATGTAAACATTTTCAAATTTCTGCCCATTAAACGGCCAGCGTAGCGCCTGCAGGCCGCAATTGTGATCTAACTTTCAGCCATTGCAATGAACAAGAGACATGATTCGCATTTCTGATTTCAACTCAGCTAGTGAAGTCGCGTTTTTGTCGAGATTATCTCACTTAGGAAGGCGATGATTGCTTTTTCAGCCAAAAAAAAAAATTGTTACATGTCTCTTTGGTACCCTCTATAGAAAATAAACTAGATTTGAAAAAGCACCGGTCCAGGTGTTGCTGTTGGGATCCCCGCTGAAGCAGCTCATGTCGTCCGTCTTGGGATTGTAGTCGCAGAAGTAGACGAGATCCCTGACGGTGTCGACGGCGAAATGCCTCCACTGGCCGCTGTCGTTGGTCATGCGGGTCGGAGGGGCGGGGAACGCGCAGTGGTCGGCCACGTCGGCCGAGAGGGTGCAGCCGTAGAATTCCGCCCTGAGAGGGAAATTTCCATCGAATTCCTGTTCAAATTCGTGCTTAAGGAAAATCATTTTACCTGACGCCGATGTGCTTGGTCTCGTTCTGGGCCGGGTCGGATGCAGACTCGATGACGAGCCTCATGGCTCGACCGAAGAGGGGGTCCGTCAGATTGTACACCCCAGATGCAGAAAAACTCCCCTGGTCAAACGAGTTAAATTTATTCATTGGCATCGGAAATTCATCTCACTGAAGCTGGAAATTAGCCATAGAGATCCCATGAATCCGAGGAGTTTCGCAAGAATGGATTGCATGATCAGTTCTCGTGGTCGAAAGAGCGAAGACGGTACAGACAAATCCATCCAATTGCATGATTAAGCCTAATATGTGAAAGTAACAGAGATCTGATATTTAAAAAATTAATTAGTGTAAGTTTACGTCGATTAACGACGATTCTTCATTCTGCGTTTTCGCGATTCCGGTCTTAACTGCCCCCAAGGACTTTTTCCCATTGGAAAATCTCGATTTTCTTTAGGGCTTGAACATTCTCACCGATTCGTGAAAGAGGAAGGTGACGGTGTCGATGCTTCTCTGCAGAGTGAAACTCTCGATGGTCCGATACGAGGTCATTGGTTTCTCGATCATGATCGAGGTCACTTGAGTGTAATTCCCGAAGTTCACCTGCAGGTACGGCCTGTACTCGTCGCCGGGAACGATGCCAGGAGACCACACTTCAGTCACAAAACATAGGGTGAATTATTGCAAAAATAAATCAAACAAATTTTCTTTTCATATAATATATATAAGTTAATAATTCCATCGCCTAACCTCCGCTCGTCTGTCCCATACGAGCGAATTTAGGAGCCGATGCGTCGTCGTAGGCCGAAGAAGCGCCGAGCTGGCAATCTTGGATTTCCAGGCTCTGCATGCCCAGGGGCGCTGCATTACAGACTGTACTTCCGGAAGGGAGCGAATTGAAAGGTCATGAAAGGTTCGCAAAAGGGTTCGGGTTACTCAGCATAGCGAGCAGTGCTTCACCGTTATCGACGATGGCATAGTTGACGTAGTCGGTCTTCCCGCAGTAGTAGAAATCCGTGCTGGCACTTGGCCACTTGGCGCTTCCAATCGCCGTTCCCTGGAAAACGTCGGTTAAAACGAATCGAGCAAGCCGACAAATTTACGAGAGATTCAGGATATTTAAGTGAATACCGGAAGTGGGTCCATGTTGCAGATGAGTCGGATGAGAGTCGTGGCGTTGAGACCGGTCGAAGTCCCCCTCGGCGTCATCATGTCGTTGGGATTCACCTTCACCGTCACGTTCATATCGATCACGTCGGAGAAGAGAATTCGGTCGAACTGCGAAACCGAAACCAACAATGGATGACGACCGATTGGAGGACGACAGGACGGATGAGACTGGGTGGATGGCGCCGGAGGACACTCACCACGATGTCCAGGACGTCCGTCGCGTTGACCCAGGCGATCGTCTTGTTGGTCGAGATGGACGCGGTTTCCGGGGTCACGTACGGCGGCAGGACGATGCGGACCCGGGCGTTGTTCGCTTCTCGAGACGACATGTTCGTGTGCGCCACTGTAGCTCGCAGGTCCACATCGTAGCTACAAATGGGCAAATATTACAACTGAGCAGTCAGCTTAATCGTTTAAATCCCATTTTAGACATCGCTAATTTCCTTCTCAAAACGATAATGATCCCTTTAGTTATTTAGTCAAACGACTAGATAATTTTCACAGATTCCACACAAAAATACGATATTGATGGAAAACGACTGACTTTCTCGGAAACGGCATGGCTTGTGCTGGACTGATGAGGAAGAGATTCACGTCGATGTCCGGCCGTTCGTTGCCGGTTCGGCTCACGACGAACTGCTGGAAGCCGACCACGATGACGTCCGGGTAGTTTATCCCGAGGTAGACCAGCAGTGTGATCCCGTTGAGGTTCGCAGGATGGTCCGTGAGCTCCACGTCGACCTCCATCTGCACGATGTCGTCTGTCGCGCTCGGAATGCCCAAGACACCCGTCAGTCCTGAAAAGAAACTCAATATGAACTTTAAAATAAAGGCAAAAAAGGAGAAAAAAGGAAAAGGACAGACCGGTGTCGCGAACCATCCCGAACTGAACCTTTGCCAAATCGGTCTGACTGGAAAAATTTGATGTGATGTTTTCGGATTGGGAGAGCCCAGAAGAGAAGCGATTCTGGGCTTTGAGACAGAGCAGATTCGTCCCCGCGTTCAGGACTCTCACGGCGTTCACGGTCATCTGGGCCCGACCCCCGAGGCTCGGGGTCTGGATGACCGGCTAAAAAAAGAAAACAAAAACTGCAAACAACTGGATTTCGTCGAACAGCTCAACAATGCAAATCCCCTCACGTTGAACTGTATGTACGCCCCCATAGGCACACTCATGGAGAAGCCAAAAGTGGCAATTCGCCCGGGGTTCAACGTGATTGTCGACCCGTTGCCGGTCACGGTCACGTTGCTGCCCAACACGTACGTCTCGTTCGGCGTCGCAGCGGTCGGGGAAACGGTCTGAAACCGGAATTGAAGGCATCGAATGTCTTTAGAAAGCATGCATCTTCGCTTTTCGCATGTAAAATTCAGATATCAGATGAGGGTTAACATGATTTATTTAAATAAATGCATATCATCTTTTTTTTGTAATAGCCTCCACAACCAAATTCAGTAAATAATGTTTTTTTATGGAGCTCAGAGGATTCGATGCGGCAAGAAATCGTTCAAAACACGGTAGCTCGCACGAAATTTTTTTTCGCAAAGCGCCCTCTACCATGGTGTTGATGGCCGTGGGCGACCCGGCGTTGTCGACCAGAGATACCTTCAGTTCCACGGGGCCGAGGTTGCTCGGGACGATGAACGACACGGCCACGTCCATCTGCCAGAAAAAAAACGCCAAGAACGCATTTTGAGAAGTTTTGGTAAATTGTATTTTCCGAATTGCTTGCACGAACTCACATAAGTGTCATTAGCAAGGCCGGTCCCCGTACAGACAGAGCCGAGAAATGCCGACACCCCTACTTTCGCCCTGAATGCAAAGAAGCGTGAAATTTTGCAAATAAAAATTATTTATTTTTTTTTTGGCAAAACGCCAGGAAGAGTCCGACCCTCACCCGAGGTTGTAAGCAGGTTGGTATTCGTCGTTGATAGTCCCGTTCAAACAGGGGATGTTTGAGCCCACTTTGACGAGGTGAGCCTGGCAGACTTCCACCCCCGGAGTCACGACCTCAAACAGGGCACTGAGCTTGAGATAATTGTTTCCGGGAGGAATGAGAATGTGAGCCACAATGACTTTCGACACCATCGGGTAATAGCCGGTGAAGGGATCGTAGTAGTCGAGGAATGTCGCCGTCACCCCGGTGAAATTCTGCAAGGATAATTCATTTCTCTCGAATGCAACTTCAACTGAGTCTGCTATTTTTCTTCTTGCAAAAAAAATTAGCTATTTAAAATGTCGCCTGTGGTTAAATTGATCTCATTATCACATCGAGAGAGAATCTGGCAGAAATGTCTCACTCCGACGGTGACTGCGGCGGAACCGTTCACAGGAACGATGAGGTTCTGGCTCGAGACGATGGTAGGAGAGGAGACATCTTCCATGGTCACGTTCAGCACGGCTTGAGTCACGGCGGCATTCTGCGACAGCTCCGTGAGCTGACCCAGCACCGACACCAGGATCGTGCTTTCGTCCATTGCGACGACGGCGGGATTCGACGTGTACGTACCTTCGAGAAAAAATCATTTTCTAGAGAACGTCAAAATTCCAGACTTGCCGCGAGGGACCTCGTCTTCTTCATGCGACGACCAAACGACGACGAAAGAATAAACATTTTGAAGCAAGCGAAATGCAGAAAATCCAGATGAAATCGAGAAACGCAGATTCGCCATACCGACGTTCGAGACGATCCCCAATTCGAGCAGCACCTCCTGGTTCATCGCTTTCCCGCTCGCGGTGCTCTGCCTCGTGCTGGAGATCCTCGTGGACTGAGTCGGTCCCCACTTCCCCTCTGGGCTTCTATCCAGGCAGGGGAAGTTCCGCCCGGCGTCCTTGATCCTCAGAGTGCAGACGGTGACGGGCTGGGCGGCGGGGGCCGAGACCCTCAATCTGAACCGGCCGTGCGTTTGCGGTTTGATCTTCAGGTACAAATCCGCCTCGAACATCCGCGCTGCGGACGACACCGAGAAACATCAGAGACCATTGACTCGCTTTATTTTTCGCTCTTGGTGGTGCACGAACCTGGTAAGATGGGGGTGGTGGGTGCCACGACGAGTAGGACCGCTTTGGACCCTGCAATCGGGATGTAGTTGGGGGCCACCGTGAAATTGGCTTGTCCTCCGAAGATGATGCTGCTCGACAGTCTGATTCCACTCTGAAGCGTGTATATGCCTGCGTATATACAGGGTGGCTCAAGAACATTCTAAAGAGGACGTCGAGAGCGGGAAATGCATGACTTTTTATCAGGACATCTGGAATATTTTCTGCACATAATTACGCTCTTCACAAATCGGTTGGTTTGATACAATTAATTATTCAAGCAATTAATGCAGTTAAATTTATTTACAGGAAATCACGTGAGTTGATTGAGTTTCCTGGGTCGCGTTCACTTCTCACATTCGTTGTCGGAAATTACTAGGATTATATGCGGCCAGCAAATATGTCAGAATCGAGTTCCCACATACCGCTGATGCTCTTGCTCGGGTCCTGGAGCGGGAGTTCCGCGACCATGTTCAGCGTGGCATAGTAGTCGGTGGCGTTGACCGTGATGACCGGGATTAAAGGCGCCGAGACGGACCCTATGGGCAACACCCAGTAGTCCACGAAGGAGCGATTCGGCGTCCTGTAGAATCACTGGAATTCGGGGAATCGTCGACGATTGCACGCTAAACGGATTCTCGACTCACGTCAGGAGCTGCGAGGCGTTCATCTCCAGGGTTCCCTTCTGAGACTGAAGAGTGATGAGATTCCGGCCGATGAAGCTGAATTCCACCCTGCAGATCCTGATGTCGTAGGCGGTGAAGTTGGCCTGGCTCATGAACTCCGCCTGCATCTTCGACATGACTGCGTTCGCTGCAATTCAAATGTCTTTTCTTGCATCGCCTATTGGTTTCTGCTTCATCCAAACTTTCAAATGAACATTAATCGTCTCGTTGAATATTAACTGGAATACGAGGCCGAAGACGTGAAAACTATGCCTTTTAAATGGTACTATATCGCCAATTATGAAACGGAAGGGCCTTAAAATTGGAATATCAATCGTCCTTTAAACATCGTGCCACGCTTAACCCTTCTATTCGGCAGCTTAAGTCGACCAAGCACGCCAAGTAATGGCCGTCGCTATGTGAACAGTCATCTTCCTACTACATCAAATCCGTGAGTTGTGATGACATCAACGGTATAAGGAGACTGTGAAAAATGGCGATTGATACGCTGACCGCATTTCGCACTCGATCCTGGTCCTCTTGGTGTGCCGTCGAAGGGAGGAGGGGAGGGAGGGAGGAGGGAGGAGGAAGAGAGCGAGGAGGAGAGAGCTGAGGAGAGGGAGGAGGGAAGGACGGAGAGTGAGCCGTGAGGTATTTTGTCAGAATACCTCATCTATACAGCACGAACATGGTTTAAAATGAATTTAAATCATAATCACAGTTATAGCTGTGCTTTACCTAATTTATTCTTCAACAATTTTTGAATAGTTGAAAAGTTTAGTAATTCAAGACAAAAATGATCAAATTTCAATTAAGATGGTACATTATTGCAATCAATAACTTTAATTGAGTGATTGGGCATGACTTAATTTAAATTGACTAAAATGTGCTCATATTTTACCATACCAAAAGATTCCTCCAAGAAGGCCAAAAAACATGGTGACGTACGTGGAACATTGAATGTGAGGTCCAGGGAGACCTGGCCTGACACGGGCCACTGGGTACTCGTCGTCCCGATGGCGTAGTTCAGACTCGCACTGGGGGCGACTGTGCTGAGCACCTATGGAAGATTCGAGACGTTAGCGACATCTGGACTCTCACTCGGAAGCTCGGAGACCACTTGAGCTTACGGAGTCCAGGATGTTCACGGTGGTTTGGCTAGTCAGACTAGCGCAGCTGATGGAGACGGTGAAGCTCTGGCCGTTGCTCGGGGGGGTTCCCTCCTCGTCCGTGACGGCCACAAGCAGGTAAACCTTGCTCTGGATGGAATCCGTTGCAACCTGCGAAGAGTGTCAATTGGTACGCTCGATATGTGACGCACGATGGAGTAATTGAAGCCGGGCCTCATAGGACGTAAGAACATTATGAAAATCGGATTTTACGTTAACGGATGGAAATGAAAATCAGGTTAAATAATCGCTTATAATTTGACGGATGCATAATTTTGGAGATTTAAATTTCTTTGAGGGTAAAAATAAAGACTGTAAGAATCAGCTGAAAATGTATATTGACTCATTACAATACATTCCTTCCTGAAAACCCTCTAGAGTGTGACGTGGAATTTCCAACCCTTTGAAACAGTCTAGGCGAAGAGTATCCAGCAGTCGCCATAAGAAAACACTGCTTCACAGCATTTCTATCATCCTCAGAATTAAATCTCCCAAGGTGCGTCCTTCGGGGACATCTTCAATCTCGTGCAATCGTCCTTGTGGATCACTAGCTTCTTCGAGTGCTTCCCTTGTTCGCTAGTGAACCACGGATGCTTGCAGGGGTTCACTAGCATGTCTGAATTTCGCTAATGGAAACTTCATCTTTCCATGTTTCACTTCTGAGTTCATTGATCTTCGTGCAATCTTCAGCATTATTAAGTTTAATCTCATTAAAACTGCCACAGAATTTTTCACTCAAAAGTAATATAGGACGAGAAATATCAATTCTTGCAGCGTTAACTTCTTTTTTTTGGCACCCTGTACTCCTGTGATCTTGGGAATTTTTGCTCCAATAGTATAAACATATACATCACTAAGGGGGCGTTGTTTCAGTCATAAAACAAGGCGTAAAAAAAAATTGAGAGGTCCCTTATTCAGATCCTCTATCAACGTTTGAAGAATTTGGCAAATTTATGGTCACTAACGGACTGGTTCGAAGCGGACCCCTCTCATTCGCATACGATACGATAAGGCACCAGGCGCGCCCTAAGTCTGTAACATCAGCCAACACGGGTATTCCCTAACCTTGGGAGACTCAATTTGATCCGAGCAGTTTCTCCTGTTATATTCTACATGGGCTTGTCCATTACTGTTGGCGTTCTTTAATCCTCTCACTGGAACTGGCGTATATGTAAGTCATGGCGTTTCTGCTCCACTGCGTGCATTCATCCACGTTTCAAAGCGTATGAAACTCTCCTAAGGTACTCTAATAACTCATGTGTACCAAAAACACCGAAAAATGTGTGAGGAATGAATAAAATATTTTCTTCTGTTAAATACATTTTTATCGAAATAACCAGCCAGTGAAAGGGTTAAGTCCCGAATGTTCAGTGGTCTCCCCCCCCCCCCCCCCCCCCCCCCCTTCCCCGGCCCAATGTCAATGGTCTCCCTGGGTTGATTAGGTTCGAAAATCGGGTCCCCTGCCACGGGAGTCAAACTCGTTACTGACCGAGACACTCACCTGTCACTGCCCCCCCATCATGAATTGTGCTGCACGAACTTGATGTAACTCACAGCGGCATGCACGAGTTTGAGGCGGAAAGTCATGGTATTCCCCGAGTAAGTGATGTAGTCGGGAGACGTGAGCGCATTGAACTGGGCGATGTTAGAGCCACATCTCATGTACTGCACGCCAAGGGCCAATGTCGCGGCTTTCAGAAAAGAAAACCAATAATAATGGAAATCAACCAATTCGCACATGAGCTTCTTTTGGCTTTCTTTGAATCGATTGCAGTTGCCCTCGTCACCAAAAAAGCAACACCAGGAAGGAGTTGGGCGATGAAGACGAAGCTTTCGCACACGAGCTCGGAGAAGTGTGTCACGAAGTCCATCTGGATTTCAAGTGAGTAGCGGGAGGGTTCTTACAATTTACCCAAAATGAACCTTTAGAAAGGACATATTGATGAAACGTGGAAGGTAAACTCTCGATGATGAGCAGGAAAATCGAGCAATCAAGCCGACGCAGTAGGCTAATGCACGCGTTCTTCAAGGCCAATGTCTCAATACCAAAGGGGCTTGAGGGGGAAAGGAAATGAACCGCCAGTGACAGCCCTCTTCCTTCATTCCTCTGTCGTTCGGTTTTCTTTGTATCGCCTGGTACGATGGCCTTAAAATTTTGCTGGATCTTACTACACATCATTATGAGTTTCCCTTCCACAATTCATCAAGATACTTCTGGGTGTTCGTTTTGGGAGGTTATTAAGTTCCCCGTAGCATGAATTGAAGTGTATGTCAGGGTTTCTGTACGAATACTTCATATTACGCAGTTGAAACTATAATTCATTTCATGACGCACTGCTACAAGCTTGTTTGCCAAATTTCATCAAGATCGCACAACTCCCTCTCGGTGCTTTTTTTGGCAATGAGTGTTCATCACATAAGGAGACAGAAGTATTGCTCCCCTTCACCATTTTATTCCAATCTACCTGTCTCTCATATTTTTTTCGTTAAAATCTGCATACGCATTATTCCAGAACGTTTCGACAACAAATACTCGATCGTAACATTTCCATAGCCACATTTAGCAGACACTGGAGCATAAACGTACCTTCCGACGGCGTCACTGTGCATTGAAAATCGAGCGCCCCAGCTGTGACTTCAATTTGCGTGTCGATATATACCGTCCCACCATCCGGAATCGGGCTGACCGGCGTGTTCATCACCTGCAACAGCATCCTCATTCAGATCGGATGCACACCACGAGGGCGCGCCTCACGAAGGAGCCTCACCAAACTGGCCACAGTCCCCGGCCCGGGCGTAGTGAGCTCCGGCGTGACCGCCGTGATCGCGCCGATGTAGATGGTCTTCACGTTGTTCATGTTCAAGGCGGCCGAAAGCGGGATGGTCGTGTTCGGGGGAGTCCCCGGCATGACGCTCAAGCTGAACGTGAAAGTCACCGCGTTGTTCACGTCGCTGATGTTTTCGGTTCCTGCAGGGAAAAAAATTTTTTTTGACCTTCCCCGACCGAGAGTCCCCGCGAAAGTGGCACGCACCGCAGTTTATGAGATTAATTTCGTAGAGTTCGGAGAGCATGACGGAGGCCGTGGACGGGGATCTCGTGACGGTATAAGTCGTCCTCGAATCGGGGCCCACGCTGCAGGCGAATCCACTCCCTAGGGACCTTCCGACGTAGGAAAGCGTGAATTTGTCCTGCGGGGGTTGCAAAAATTTGTATCAATGTCGCCCGAAAGCGTGAAAACCTTTTATAAAAACTAATTAAACCAATAACAAATGTTATATAAATAAAAAGTAAATAAATAGATAAATAAACAATTAAAAATTGTATATGGTCATACCAGCAGGTCAGCGGTGATATTGGGGGAATAGATCTGCAGCCTGAGGTTCGGAGGCGCCCGGATCATGTAGGCGGTCAGCGTGAACGCCGTGTTGCCGTCGGTCCATACGTTCGTGCCGGTGAGAATCACGTTCGGATTGTAGGTCTGTAAGACCCAATCGTTAAATGGGAAAATTCGACGAAGAAGGGCGAAGCGGACTTACCTCGGTGAGTGAGATAGTGATGGTGTCCTCGGCGACCCAGACGTAGTTGGAGGCGCCGTAGTCCATCCCCGCGAGGATCTTGGACGAGGTGAGACTCGAGTTCGCGAGCACCGCGGTCGCCTTGAAGGACACGGTGAATGTGGAAAGGGCGTAGTTCGTCGTGTCCGTGTCGGCGTTTGTCAGCGTCCCGAAGTTCAGGATCACGTGGTCGTACTGAAAATCGAAAGAGTGAATTGTATGATACCCGTTTCTTGCAGGCAGGTCATATTTGACAGGCAGATCACACCTTAGGGAAACTTTCGCAATGAACTTACCACCCAGTCGAAGTAGGAATTGACGTAGTAGACGGGCGTGATACCTGTGACGGCAGGAGTAATTGCCGTGGCGCTTGTTACCACCTGGAGAAGAAAAAATTGAATAGGGTGTGGAAGTTCATCTCTATGAAGAATTCCTCCCCCCATTCATTTATTTTTACGATAAACTTGGAAAAAATAAAAACTGTTTTGCTTCGAAATATCAATCATTCGCTTCAATCGCTTTATTGCTCTACGCGGTATTGAAAGCGAAAATAAAAAGGAAGGTACTCCATTTTAAAACCTAAATATTGGCGACCGCTTCTAATATAAAATCTCGCCACCCCTTTGATGTCACCGATGTTTTCCTGCATAGGAATTCATTCGCTTCATTCCTCCTCCAGCAAAAAGCGACCAGAACTTCGAGCACCCTAAGGGAACATTCACCTTCACGTCACTAAGATGAAAGGCGACCGCCCCCGTGTCAGCATCAGACGTGAAGATCTCCACAGAGACATTCATGCTTCCACTGGGAAGGATAATGGTGATCCTGCATGAAAACGAAAAGAACGTCAGAGGGGATGTCAAAAAGGCTGTCACTCGTTCTCCTGCACAAAACCGAGAAAGCCGTGCTTACGTATAGTCCAAGCTATCCCCAAAGACTGCAGAGGTACTTCCCGACACACTGGTCAAGGTGATGTTGGTGTCTGCCGGGGTCGTACCTGCAACCTATCAACGACAACCACATGTTATTTCTCCGCGTTCAAGTAGTGTTGCTATATTATGTTTTGCTTAGCTTCGCTTTTTTTTTCTAATGAGCTATTAGAATGTATTCGTTGAGGAACAAGGCGCATAATGCTCAAAATCCATTAATATTTTCCCATTGAAGTCTATGCGAGAAGTGAAAAAAAATATGGATATACATTTAAAGTCACTTCTGGTGCTGATTCTGGCTAAAAACGTATAAGGGAAGCAGAAAATGCCCAGCTCCCGAACTCAGAAACACAGAACAGAGACCAAAATCCGGTATACATGGCTATTAAGGTTCACTGAGGTGTTGACTTATTTTGAGGCTATTTCTGTCCGACTCCTTTTTATACCTACGTTCCTTACTTATCTAATCTAATACTTTAATTGAAAGAGAACGAAAGTTGTGGTGCCTATCACTCCCAGCGCGCGAGGCCTACAAGGCCATTGCATGCATATACCATTCTAGGTCATAGGCTAAGCCATTTTGATTTTTCCTCATTTGCCGCATTTCGAATTTGAAATGGTCTTTTCCATTCATGATTCATTCCTTCATTCGTGATTTATCTGTGAGGTGTGCTTTCGACGATATTAAAATTAGCTAGGCGGCAACACTTTTGAACTTCTCGAGGTTTGTTTGAAAATTTTTAATGATTGGTTTGAACCGAACTGCTTTATATCTATATCTATCTATATATATGTGTGAGGTTGCCGAGAGATGGTACTCTTACATCATGTACCTGTACTAGACAGGACAAGGAAACTCAAGCCATAGGATGGCCGTGCAAGGAATCGAACCCACGACACCACCGTCTAGCGGAAAGGGCCAGTTGGAATTAGGCTTCAGTCCCATTGTAGATATTGGGGCAGGGTCGAACCGTGTGGATTGTGAGCTCGCGTTCAAATACGGACTTACCAAACCCGTTTTGTTGGGCGGGTACGGTGGTCTAGTGGTTTGAATGTCGGGATCACACTCCACTAGACGGTGGTGTCGTGGGTTCGATTCCTTGCACGACCATCCTCTGGCTTGAGTTTCCTTGTCCTGTCTAGTACAGGTACATGATGTAAGAGTACCATCTTTCGGCAACCTCACGTATTACTTCTCCGCGGGTCGATAACCCGCTCCAAAATTTCTCTACCTATATATCTCTACGATATATAATCGAGTTCGACACTTACCTTTCTTTTCTCTCTCACATGTTCCTCAAGACTCGTGCCAACATCCACATCATTGCTGTGGAAGGGAGGTGGATTCTGTTTAATAATCACCGCAGCACATAAAAATGGATTTCCCTCGAGAAAACCGCTTACTTGAGGGCGAAAAGGTTCTGCAGAAAGTCTGGCAAGTAGCCCGCTCCGGCCGTACCTTTATGGAGGAAAAATAATTAAATAACATGACATATATAATTAAATAAATAAACAACTATGAGGATCCGAAGGTCGCCTATTATGTAAATATAATATAAGAACTCCCTCCGTTTAATTCCTTGATTTGACTGAGGAGAATGCAAGAAGTACAATAGTAGTACGATAAGTACGGGCAAAATAGTACAAAAGGTGTAGAAGCCTGTCTCTCGAGCATGCCAGATCTCTAAGAAGTGCGAAGTGGGAAATAACGGAATGAAAGAAGGACACAAGAAAAAAACTAGACAGTTTATTTCAGGTCTTGAAAAGCCTGAAACCTATATCATAAATGACTCATATATACTGTACACTATACCCTCAAAAGTATTCGGACACCAGTAATGTTGAAGGAAATGGATTTTGAATAAGGAAATTAATAACGTGTGGGCCCACCTTAGGCCTGAATATGACTTTATTTATAAATACAACTTAACTTCATACTGGCTGCAACTGATATCTCTAGTGTTTCCTGAGCACTTTTATGCCTGTTCCTTCTTTGCATACGTCCGGCTCGCATTGTTCACTACTTTCGAAGGGGTGTCCAAATGCTTTTGAGAGTATAGTGTGTTATTAGGGCTGTACCTATGGCCGATAATTATCGGCCATAGGCCCATCGGCCAAATGTGACCAAATGTGTCTCATCCCCATCAACCGGTGCCTATTGTGTTGCATAGAGAAAGAGAGAAGAATCATTATATCGAATATTTATTCAAGTTGACCTATCAGGAAGCCATGTTTAGCTTCTTTTTTTTATGTCTGTGACGCTGGGTGTTCGGAAAAATCGAAGAATCAACCTGAAATATCCATAGTGCATTTATGCAGCCGAGGGCGGGGGTGGGGGAGGGTGCCATCGGATTCAATCTTTCCTCGCTTTCTCGCTGGGCGGAGGTTTTACTATCGTCGTTTCTTGCCTCGATTGGGGCACGGACCTCCATCAGTATTCTACTGTATATTTTCTCGCCTGTGATCGAGGAGTGTGGGAAGGTGGAGGGAGGGAGAGGAGGTGTGACCTTCGCGACGGATAAAAAAGCTTACCATGCCTCCAACTATGGAAAATGATATCCATTCATTGATTGATGCATCGGGACAGCCATTATTTTTTCCTATGGTCGTTTTTTTAAATTTAGAATCGGTTGTCAAGCCGGGTTCACGTATTTTTAACAAAATATTTTTCATTGTCCTACACGTTCTTCTTTGGACATCGGCACCGGCAGCTTGCAAACCGACCGATGGTCGATAGCGCTAATGGTGTCAAACTGGCGGTAGATACCGGTGGTTGCCGATGCAGCCATAATTTGATATTCGTGATAAGATAACTTATCACGAAAAGGGCTCTCATGAGCTCTCATGACTTTCTTCCTTTTTTTTTCAAGCAAAGAGAACTTCCTCGTTGAGGATGACATTTTTTTTGTTGAAAGATTAAGAGATTTTTTCCAGAAAAATTGGAAAGTTTTATTTTTTTAAAAATTATTTCGGAATTGTATTTGTCTTGCTTTCTTGCTTGTCTCGCTAATTCCAGGATAGAAAAATGAGATAGGGTTGTTAGGAACGTTAGGAATCGAAGGGACTCATGATCCATGGCTGCATATTTCATCCCGTCAAAGACCATGAAGTTGACCTGTCTCCGACTAATTGGCTGGCTCTGTGATATATAATTTATTGCTGTCAGACCGTAACCCAATCACCAAATTCGATTGATCGAATCCTGCTTGTTCCACCTTTTGTGATTCGAAAATTGGGGAAAAAACCGGGCGAAATGTCTAGAATAATTTGCAAATAGTTTTAGTCTTGTTTTTCTGGTAATAAATTGCTTAATTAAATGGTACATTCGACAAAAAGTGGTCCATTCGACCTGCCGGTTTTAAGTAAAATCAGTGACCTGTTGGAATTCAACAATTTTATTGGATGAGAACAGGCGAGAACAATTTGTTGAAAACGTGTTTCTTTGTCGCTTGTTCGCTGCAGAGGTCACGAGGAGCTCCTACTTTCCTTTCTGAAGTTTACAAATAAAACGACTTGGTCTTCACGCTGAAATCCCATTGACTGCCTTTGACTCATGGAATTGTACGCAAGAATCAAATTTATTATTGTTTCAGTCTCTCTCCCTCAGAATCTCCTGGCCATTCTTCGAGAGACTTGAATCTTAATTTCTTCATTTGAAATCGTCAGCTTATCCCCCTTGAAGGACACCTCGGGCTCTCGATGAGAGTTTCTGACCTAATTCGAAAGAGAAATTTCGTCCTCACTTGGAATTCCGCTGCTGCGAGGAGCCGAAACGACGCAGAAGAGGGCAAGCGCCCACGTCAGCCGCATCTTCACTCGATTCTCGACTCGATCAGGATGTTCCCATTCCTATCGCGGGAAGACTCGAATGATCGAAGGGGTCAAAGAAAGGAGAGGAATCGAGAGAGAATCACCTTGAAAAAGGGAAGCAGCGAGACGACCGGTGTTGACTGTGGCAGCTCCGGGGGGATGCCAGGGTCACCCTCCAAACAAATCAATGGTTACTCGGATTTGCCCTTGTATAACACTCGCCGTAACTAGGAAAGGGAGCGGCGCAATCATCACTCACATTTGCATCGATCCTTTTTCCTTGGCCAGGCATTTCTCAATCTCGATTCCAACTAACAATTGTGTTTTACATTATCTCGGGGTAATTAAGGCTGTCTCTTTTCTCTCCCGGTGAAAATGGGCCGGCTATAAATGAGGCCTAATTACCATGCATGAATCATGAGTGCAGACCCTTCCCCCGCCCAGAATGGGGTGGGTCGCTGTGTAGCCCGCACAGGCAGTGTTTTTCTTATGTTAAGAGACGATAGTCTTAGTCGATGGCAATTCCTCTATTCCAGAATACAGGGAATAAATGAAATCGCATATTAACAAATAAAAACGGGTCTAATTAAGAAAAAGCTCCCCGAAGACCTTTCCATGAATAAGGATGAGCGATAAGCAGGTAATCCTTATAAGCTGGTATAGCGAAGGAGGAGTGAGAAAAGTCAAAATAGACAGTCAAACGAAATTCCACTTCGCGCCAACGAGTTTTGGACAAGCAAGCCATGGAGAAGCCATTAATGGAGTGAGATAAGAACAGACGGCCTCGCCCTAGTCAATATCCTATTCTTTGTCTGGTCGTAACCCATGGTGTCCCATATACTGCAGGTCTACGATGGACAATATGTACTGGGAACTGAGTTCGTGTTTTCAAAGTTATCCATACTAACCTTTCGAAAATTGCTGAAATTATAAAAAAAAAGCGTGATTTCAACTCCCGTCAGACGACTTTCTAACTCCGCATAATATGATAACCAACCTTGAAACAATTGCTAAAAATAGGAAAACAAAGACCCGATCCCCCAAATCCAATGAACAGAAGTGTCTTCTTCCACCTCGACCAAGCGACTGGGGAATGTCCGAATCCTCCTGAGTCAGTTCGAACGTCCACGAGCGTCGAGAGGGCGCCACGCCGTCCAGGGTCTTTCCTTCTATGTGTCTCACGATGACGCCTTTCAGTCCATCTACGTCTCTCGCGTGACACACGCTGATCATCTCTATTTCGCATTGTAACACGATTTTGTTCCCGAATCGCACAGGGAACGCTCTGATCGATTGATGCTATACTTCACATCTACCCATCGATACTGCGAGAGATTCAATTCCAATGGATTCTTCGCAGTTCATGTCAAACAAGATGAGGAATTATCCTCATATTGATTGTTTTAATTAATCTTAATTATCATAAAATATCGTGATTAATATTTAACCGTGAATCTATTCCCAGCTGATCCTAATTGCGAATAAAGCGCCGATCGACATCATTTTCATTTTGAAGGAACCCAAAGCACTCTTGCTCATATCTATACTGCAATACAAGAGAAACAAATGCCTCCCAGGGGCCTCCCTTCGATAAATTTTCCAAATGTAAAAATTATTGGTAAGAGATCATTAATGACAAGAATCAACAGCGTCACATCATGGGAAAGATAGCCGTCTACTTCGTTTCGTCGTGACTATATACGAATGCGGGATTCCAATTTGACACGCACGAAGCAGAGCGTTCGGGTCGACATGAACACATCGAATTTCAGATAAACGGACAGTAAATAAATGGAGCAATGCATCAAAGGGTTCACTGAATTGTATGATAATCGAAAGGATCATACTGCCGTGGGCTTATTTTTTTTCTTCTCCTGCCTTCCCTCGCTTCGTTCCTCCTTGCCCTTGAACCGACCAATCGATTAAAATATTAATCGTAATAAAGGAAATCAATGGCAAATGACCCCCAGACTTTTACCCTAAATGGAAAATCACGAGGTCGCTTTATTGGGAAAGGAAGCAATTTCAATCGCAGCCCTCAGAAAAATGCTAATAACGAAAAGAAAACCTCGTGAGGAGATGGAGGAGAATGCGTTTACACAGTTCCAAATCAATTCTTCTGCCTTGCACGACGCAATACATGCTTGAAATCGCGCAGACCCAAATTTCCATTCGAGGATTCTCGGCAGCACGCTCGGTGGGGTATCGAAAAAGTCCATACCGTCTGCTTTCAAAAGGCATCAAAAAATCACGCAACGAGTAAAAATCTTATGAAAAGCAGGAAATAGAGAAACATCTTGGATTTTCAACGTCCATTCCGTCACTCCCCCCCCCCACTCATCTCCATGCGATTGAATGGAGGTTCCTAGACATTTCCCTGGCAGGAAGGAAGCTCAGTTCTCCCTGAAGCACTGAACTCTTCAATCTCCTCCTTTTCTCTCTAGCTGATTTCGACTTTGTGGTCAGTCGCAGTCTAGTTGGGGTTCAGTTGACGTCCTGGGTATAGTCGTATTCATGGTTCCGCTTTCGTCGACAGAAGATTTGGAAATGTGTATTCAGACCGTAATTTTTCGAGGTCTCGTCGACCATAAGGCTATACTCGCAAGGCTATACTCGTCATATATGACGACACACCTGCGGAGTCATACAGACATGCTTCCAATCGTTTCCAGTCCGATCGCCTCAGACAATGACTACGAAGAAGTCTCTACGTTCTCAGGTTTTCCATTTCAGATAGTTCACTCGCATTGTTTTGATGATCAGAAGTGCGAAATTGAAACTACGACATGATTGGAACAATGGAACGACTGCAGTTGAACCTCAACTGGGCTGAGACTGAACATGAAGTTATACTGAATCTTTGTCTTGTCTGTAAGCATGATCTCGAGACGCTTCACCACATACTGAAACAGGGTGGATCAAGTCTATGTTTTCTTGGACCATTCCAAAAAGAATCTGTCCATTCCTGGATCCTTCCAAGAAAGGGTCTGTCCATTCCTGGATGGACCCATCCATGGCTACGAGAAAGTGCTGACCCACTTTATAGTATGCAGTCATTTTGAAAACAGTCGGATTTAATTCGACAAACCCGAGGCTATTTTTCCGAACGACCAGCCACGAAAACAT